TTAGCGCTGCTGTCACGCACGAAGCGAATAGGGTATTGACGATTTTAATAATTTAATTGGAAGGAGATCAAATTTTCTCTGACACATAAGAAACAGTAATGTACTATGTGTCTACGAAAGTTGGCTACATATGTAAAACAGTTTTATTATTAGTTTTATCAAAACAAATGTATTCCTTACAAAAAATTCTGCGTAGTCTACAACCTAAAATTCAACCATCAGATATTAAATTTTTTGAGCAGTATACGAGGGACGTCAAAAAATATAAATTATGCTTAAAAGTAAAGAACATTAAGTTATGACAAAACTGGTATCCAATGAAAAAATTTGGTATCATGTGATTGAATTTTAGGTTTTAAGTCACGAAAAACTTCATCAAATATCAAATTTTATAAGTCGTTTGTCAAAAATGAATATACTTTACTATTGACGATAAATCATTTTTTTGGCAAACCTCGTATACGGCTCATAGAATTTGATCACTTATGGTTGTGTTTTAGTTTTTAGACAATGCACAATTTTGTATAATGAATATATTTTTTTGATATAACTAATAATAAAAAAGTTATCCATATAAGTAGCCAACTTACGTAGACACTAGACAGGTCGTTAAAAATTAAATTTTTTACCAACTCCTTAAAAAGTATTAATTAATGATACCCCTTAAGCCTAGGCTTAAGGGTGTACACAAACCAAACTCCGTCTACCCCATTTGTACTGGGGATAGGGGGAGCAACGGTAATTTTCGAAAAGTTACATTTTTCACATGGTGCCTTAAGCACACATGTGGAACTTCAAATTTGAGATTATCTTTTATAACCACCTTCATTAGATGGAGGCAGGCGAGGTTCAAGAGTAAACAATATCCAACCTCGAATGAGGGAGGCAGTACGTGCCAATTTGTATAATTTTTATTTTTACAATTTAAAATTTTAATTCAACATTTAATTTTTTCTGTGGACACATAGTGGTAAGACACCTAGCATTTCTATATAAAAACGTTTTGTTATCCTAAATTATTATTGCAGATTGTACCTACCTACCTACTCACTTTCAAAAAATTTTGCCTGATGATGACCTTTTAGGTCGAAAGCGCTTGCAACCCAACCGAATAAATTTATGTGGTCAACAGACTTTGAGCCTTTTACTTCCCTTTAATCCTTAAAAAACCTTCCTTTTGATGAAAAATTACGGGGGATTTTTTTTTTAACATCAAGAACAAGCCGATTAAAGTTTATATTTTCAGAAAATCGAAGTTTCTCAAAATATATTTTTTAAAGTAGACGAATTTAAGAAAAAATCGGAAAATTTTGATTAATGAGTTTATTATTGAGAATATCTCCATAAATATGAACTTTATGAAAAAATCAAACAAAAGGAATTTTGTAGGAAATTCTCTACAAAAAAGGTCTTATTTGATTTTTTCATAAAGTTCGTATTTATGGAGATATTCTCAATAATAAACTCATTGACTCAATAAAATCAAAATTTTTAGATTCTTTTCTAAATCCGTCTATTTTAAGAGATATTTTGAAAAACCCTCAAAATTATGAAAAAATAAACTTAAATCGACTCGCGGCAAGTGTTCTTTAAAAAAAATCCCCCCCCCTATTTTTTCATCAAAAGGCGTCAGAAAAAATTTAATAGAATGTCTTAATCTTATTTTCATTGAAAGTAGATTTGCAGTTTTAAATGCAATCAAGAGAAAACATTTTCTAGATAACTTTTTTTGTGTAATATAGATTTCATTAGCTTCAACAGTAATTATTATATTTTTTTATTTTGAATATTGTGCAGAAAGTTTTTGATTTGTTTATTATTAACTGTATTCATTGGCATAGTTCAACCAACATTACAATCAATATGTAACCCAAAAAAATGTGTTGTAGCGGTTGATATCATTAGGGCATTATTTAATTCTAAAGGTAAAGAGCATCATTTATTTAATGGGAATAAAAATATACACTGAGTTATACCAACATTAGTACATTTGTTTTATATCAATTGATTAAATAATTTTTAATAATATACATATCGATTCTTTTAGACTCTGGGGTCAGGGCAGATATCGCTATTGACGTGTGATCAGCGTAAATATTTTCTGATAGTTCATTTATGAAGTGAAGAAATATCAGCGGTCCCAACTCTTATCCCTGAGGTACTCCTATATTTGGCTCATAGAATTGGGAAATGCAGTTTTTAATTATTACTAAGATAGTCTAATTGCCCTGAAGTCAGCGTCCACGCCTTTCGTAAATTATTTTCCAGAAAAACCCAACATTAAAAGAGACAGTTTTTTGGTATATGATACGTTTATTTCTATTAAAAAAATAAAAAATAAGATTGATTTTATTATTCCATAAAAAATGTTATCGGGTAGTTCGCAAGGTTCTGTTTTTGGCCCTCTACTGGTTTTGTTGATTGCCTTTCAGAAATAGTACTATAAATTGAGACACAAAATACTGACCATGCAATTATTTTTAGTTTTCGATATAAGGAAATATATTCTTTAATTAACAACGAATATGCAGGGCCGCCGAGAGCCAGGTCGGGCCTCGGAACCATTCTCTAGGTCGGGTTCCGCAACAATTTTATGAAAAAATTAGGCCCTCTTAATATCACATTTCTAAAAAAAGGTCTTCAAGCAAAAACTTCTTCTCCTCTATAGTGAAATCTCTAACTAAAAAACAGGTCCTCCTGTGCCGATTTTCTAAAAAAATAAAAAAGTCCTCACCAAAGCTGCCGGACCCCCCTTATGCCGCTGCCGGGCATTCGCTTGAGCCCGGGCCCCCACTTGAGCCCGAGCCCCGGGTCCCGACTACCCATCCCCCTTTTGTCGGCCCTAAATATATCCTTTCTAGTATTATATTTTCGTTAAGTAATAGGGAAAGACTCAAAATTATCAAATTTCCTACAAAAGGCACTACCCCACCACTAATTTCATCAATATTAGCTGAAGTTTCCTAGCATTTCCTACCATTAAATGACGATAGACAGGGTAGGAAATGAGCATTTCGTGCGCGTTTAGCATTTATATTTTTTTACAACAGTTACATAATATTAAAAATTAGTTGAACTGAGAAGAAGGAGTTAAGAAGGTTAAAATCTGGAAGACGAGCTAACCATTCACTCTCCAAATCAGCAAAGATGTCCGTCTGATATACGACAAGAGTCAATTTTATTGTTATAAAATCTAATCAAAAATTATTCGACTTATATCTATGAAAAATAGTAAATGTAAAACAATTTTAAATTTGCTTATTATAGATTAGTTACATGGTGATGGTTTTTAATACAAATGAAATTTTTTTAATGGCCCCGAAATTATCACATAGCTTATCTAATTAGTAATTGACTGGTTTATACTAAAAATTATCAATACGTTAAAAATATTATACTATTTTATTCACACTACTTTCTGGAAAATTTTTGAGATAACAGGATCGGAGTAAGTACCTTGTGTACTCAGATTAACAAAACAAATAGGTAACGCTCGACCTATCAAAGAACCTCTACTATTCAGCAATATTTGTAGCCCGTAATATAGCTTAAACTAGCTAATTATTTACCCTGTCGAATCCATTGAAAAAATCCATGACCCTAACTAAGTTTAAGATGTAAGAAGGTCAAAGTAAGGGATTAACGAAAAGTGAAATTGGTCCTGGCTTTACATTCTTTATTTCTAAAATATGATTAATATTATCAACTTAATCAGTTCCTATTTTTGGATTTTAAATCCAAATTTCCCTTGATTTAAGATTTGTTGAAAACTTTCATAAAATTAAATAATTAATTATTTACTGCATCAGTAGTCTAACATAATATATTAATTGGTTTGCTTTTTAATATTTTGTAATTGTTAACAAATAAAAGGAAAACAATATTAACGCCCAAATCTTTTGTTTACTTTTCCTACGAAATAAAGTAATATTACTCCAAATTTGTGTTTTAGAGCAAACAGAAAATTTAAAATTTTAGTAATTTAATAGATATTTAATAGTTATTCATTAGTTATTCAGTTATTTAATAGATATTTAATAGTTATGGTTATTTAATAGTTATTTAATGGTTATTGTTATTTAATAGTTATTTATTAGTTATTCAATATTTATTCAACAGTTATTTATTAGTTATTTAATAGTTATTTAATAGTTATTTAATAGTTATTTAATAGTTATTTAATAGTTATTTAATAGTTATTTAATAGTTATTTAATAGTTATTTAATAGTTATTTAATAGTTATTTAATAGTTATTTAATAGTTATTTAATAGTTATTTAATAGTTATTTAATAGTTATTTAATAGTTATTTAATAGTTATTTAATAGTTATTTAATAGTTATTTAATAGTTATTTAATAGTTATTTAATAGTTATTTAATAGTTATTTAATAGTTATTTAATAGTTATTTAATAGTTATTTAATAGTTATTTAATAGTTATTTAATAGTTATTTAATAGTTATTTAATAGTTATTTAATAGTTATTTAATAGTTATTTAATAGTTATTTAATAGTTATTTAATAGTTATTTAAAAGTTATTTAATAGTTATTTAATAGTTATTTAATAGTTATTTAATAGTTATTTAATAGTTATTTAATAGTTATTTAATAGTTATTTAATAGTTATTTAATAGTTATTTAATAGTTATTTAATAGTTATTTAATAGTTATTTAATAGTTATTTAATAGTTATTTAATAGTTATTTAATAGTTATTTAATAGTTATTTAATAGTTATTTAATAGTTATTTAATAGTTATTTAATAGTTATTTAATAGTTATTTAATAGTTATTTAATAGTTATAGTTATTTAATAGATATTTAGATTTTTAAATATATGTTCTAGTATTTTCAAAGAGAAATTTTTAATAATCATACTCATGAAAGATTTATTAATTCCTTGAAATCAAAAATTAAAATTAATCTAAATAAACATTTAATATACATGTCATTGTTTATTACTACTACTATTTAAATGCAAGTCTATTTTTTTTTTCAGGCCAGTCTGTTCAATCCCGATGCTTCGCTAACTACATAAAATGGGTGCTTACACATCAAATTACTCCAATCCCGTACCTAAACTTTAAACATAACCTCAATTTTCCACTGCTTTACGAAGGCCGACTCTAACTTCAAAATGAATCGTAGACATTCCTCGAAAAAGACCCAACCCAGTTCTTTGCCCCTATACAGTCTGGTAGGAACAGTAGCCATAGCTTGCTACGTGAACGGTCTAAATGGAAATTTCGTTCACGACGACATACCAGCTTTGACCTTGAACAAGGATGTACTGGCTGTAAACGAGCTGAGATTGATTTTTGTGAACGATTTTTGGGGTACGCCTATGAGCGACGAGAACAGCCACAAGTCGTATAGACCGTTGACCACTTTGAGTTTCAGGTAAGTTTTTTCTCTCAGTTGGTAAACTAATATACAGGGTGTCCCAATAGTGTGTGGAAGTTCAATATATCCTATATTATAGAAAATATCAAACAATGTTATTTACAAAAGTTGTAGATAATAATAATCTGCACATTTCAAAATTATTTTCGATTATACAGAGTGATCCATAACTTCAGAATTGATCAAACCTATGTTTTTTTTAAATGGACCACCCTGTATTTAATTGTAAATTTGAATTCCCCTGACTTTGCCCTTCCAGAAAATACTAACATGTATGAGGTTATACTGGGTATTTTGGAAGTTTAAACCAATTTTATATGAAAATCGTACTAGGTTCAACCCTCTGTATATTTCAAAAGAAACAATCGAACATCAAAATATTTGATGAATAATTTTTAATGATAGTATTATTTTATAAGAATATACTAATTTTTTCCTAGCGCAACAGACGTGTACAGGCTGAGTCAAAACTCAGATACATGATTTTCTCAATTTTTTTTTAATGTAACACCCTGTATTTTATATCACTACTAAAAAGTACTCTAATTATACGTTCGTTTGAGTTAAATATTGCCTATCCCAAAACACAACAGTTTAGCGAGATTCTTAGATGAAATGTTAAAAAGGGTTAATTATAACTAAATTCACAATGTAATTTGATTTAAACTCCTGTTAAAATATACTATTTCATCAGTTTGTATTTTTAAGGTAGGTACCTAGCTACAATTTATTATCAACTGAATTTACTTTCTTTACTTTTAAGGTTAGGTTCACCCTGTATTTTATATCTCTAGTAAAAGTACTTTAATTATACGTTCGTTTGTCCCTATCCCTAAACACAACAGTTTAGAAGATATTTTATATTTGAATAAATAAAATATGAGCCAAAAATAAGTTATTTTAATTTTTTTTAGAATGCGACATTATTATATTAAAAAATGCAAAAAACAGCTATTATAAAAGCTGCTCAAAGTGACTCCCTCCAACTGCAATACAATGTTGTAATCTAGCTTCAAATGATCTCTGAACGTTTTTCAAACATTGTACATCTATGCTCGCGAACACTTGTCTTATTCTTTCCTTCATTACTTCGCTAGTTAATGGACTAGTTTTATATACCTCGTTTTTTACGAAACCCCACAAAAAAAATCTACTTTAGTGAGGCCAGGGGACCTGGGAGACCACATAACTGGACCATCTCTTCCAATCCACCTATTTTCAAAATTATGGTTCAGAAAGTTGCGAACTGGTTGAGCATGATGTACAGGAGTCTATCATGTAATATTCACATTCGGCGTCTTATATTTAGTGGAACATTTTCCAATAGTAGTGGTAGATGATTCTGCAGAAAGTCTAAGTTGACCTCGGCACTTACACAACCATGAAAGAAATGTGGCCCTATGACATAGTCCCCTAATATACCACCCCAAACGTTAATAGACCTTCGTGTTTGGCTATGTGGTTGTGGAATAGTAATGAAAATTGTGTCTATTGACGAAACCGTTTTTGTGAAATGTTGATTCATCTTCAAAAAGTACACAATCAAAAAAATCATTTTCATTATTAATACTCTCTATTGCCCATTCTCAAAAAGACATTCTTTTTTGAAAATCGTTTTCAAGAAGCTCCTGATGACGTTGGATATGGTATGGATGTACTTTATTTCCGCATTTAAATACTAAAGAAGATATCCATGCTCTCTAATTTTTCAAAGGCTTTGGATATGGATTCTATAAACAAAGATCAATAGTCGTATAGTTTTTATTAACACGTTCGCGGATAGTTTTGTAAAGTATGTTGTGTCTAGAATGTCAATATTTTTAATAAGCTGTTTTGTGTAGTAAATCCGTTTTAAATTGAGGATAAAATATTTTTAGGATTATTTGAAAATAAAAACAATCATTTTTGTGAATTTTTTTATTGACGGTTATAACCGTTATTTGCATTTGCAATGTCTAAATATATCCATTTGCAAATGACAGTTATAACCGTTTATGAAAACTAGAAGGAGGAGTTGGTTGAAATGCAAGCATATAATAAAAACTAACGAATATAAACTCAAACAGTTACAGAAACTTATCTAAACCGATTTACAAAAACTAGATGGTAAAATTATACCTGATCAGCACTATTTTCATAATGTGGAATGGTAGCTTTGAAAGCATGTAGGACATAATGGAGGATTATCTTTACATCCCTTGCATCTAACTGAAGTTTTTTTCTAACATTGCCTATAACGTAGAAAGTAAGTTTTTCTTTTATAGTTCTCAGGTGCAGGTATTTTCTCAGCAACATGTAAAACAAGAGTTTGCTGTGTGGCAACTTGATGTGATGGGTCAGCTTCCACAGTTGGGGGAAAGCTACTGGTCCTTGGTCGGCCTGCTTTGGTTTATATAACTAAATCGGGGCCATTCATTATTTGCTGGAAGTTGCAACAAACTATAGATTATATTATCTCTAAAATGTAGAAATGTCTCCTTAGAGTGAAATTTTTGTATATATAGTAGGAATTCAAAACTGATACGTACACCAGATGTAAAATGACTTTCTTATACCATCGCATTATTTTACGAGGCGAAGAATAATACTAAACCATTTGATCACAACGGTCTACTCTCAACATATTTTTATTGTAGGCAGTAATTGCTTTGGGTTTTATTTTCGGTTGGCCAAATTTGTTACGAACCTCTATTAGTTCAGGATTGTTCGCAGTGGATATAAAAAGTGCCTCTCTCTTATCTTTCCTCTTTGAGACATATACATCTCCAGATCTTCTCCAGATTTGCTCTTCTCTTTTAGGCTTAGAATCAACAACTTTCTGTTTTTACAATGCGTCCTAGTTGTGTGCGTCTTGAAATTCAACCATTCTTGGGATAACTCAACTGAATTGTAAAAGTTATCCATGTAAATATAATGCCCAAAGTTCAAATAAGGTGTCAATAGTTGTTTCACAATAATAATAATAATAATAATAATAATAATAATAATAATAATAATGTTTATTAATTTTTAACCACATAATATAATACAGTATGTTTTTATCTTAATTAATAAACACAGTAAGCCACTGAAATAACTTTTAGTTATTTGTGTGTGGTAAAATTAAAATTAACAGGAAAAAAAAATATTAATTAAAGTTTAAATATGATAAATTACTTATTTCTAACTACATACTATAAATTTATATTGTATAAAAAATGTTTTAAATTACTAAACGCGCAGATCAGGTAAGTATACTCACATCTTTAACATTCCCCTATTTTAGTAATTTAACATAAATATTATATATATTTTTTATAAGGTACTTTAAAATTAGATTATATATTTACAATAGTTTACATTTCTATGTATTTATGTATTTCTGTTCTAGGTGTAGTGTCCATGAAAATTTTTAATCTGTGTTTAAATGAGGACAGTGTTGAAGCCTTTTTCACAATTTCCGGCAGTGAGTTGAATGTTTTAGGTCCTAAATATTCAAAGTTTCTTTGACCAACTTTTTTATTTTTATATGGTAGTATAAATTGATTTTTTTGTCTGGTTGGGTATGGATGTAATGCTATTTTTAAATCAAATCTGTTGTTATATTGCGTAATAGCTAGTTGTCTGTAATATAATTGATTTATATCATATAGTTTTGTGTCAGAAAATAGTTTACAACTCGAATATCTCGGATGTACATTTAATATCAACTTTAAGAATTTTTTTTGTGACACTTCTAGCATATTGCGATATGTTGTTGATAAGTCACCCCAGCCTATGATGCCATAATTTAGATGAGATTCTATTAAACTCTGATACATAATTTTTTTTTGTTTGAAATCAAAGAAAGTGGTAACTTGCTTGGATCTAAAGAGCAAGAATCCCAATTTTTTTAAAAGATAGTAGATATGCTCATCCCATCTTAAGTGAGGATCTATTACAATACCGAGGTATTTAACTTTTTTTGCAGGTTTTATGATAATATTATCATTATTCTTTAGATCAAACTCTGGAAGAGATGATGCCAAACTACTGAATGGTAAGTATTCTGTTTTATTTATGTTTAGTGATAAAGCTCTGTGGTCAAACCATTTTTTAAGTCTTATTAAGTCTGCTTCTACTTGTTCTTTTAACGAAAACCAATCAGAATTTTTGTAGAAAACTACAGTGTCATCTGCAAAACTAATGATTTGGCCTTCTCGTTCGAGAAGAAATATATTATTTAGATATATCGTAAATAGTATTGGACCCAAAACTGTACCTTGAGGTACACCACATTTTATTTTTTGTTCTTTACTAATTTGATTGTTTATTCTAGTATGCTGTCGTCGGTTTGTTAAATAACTTTCAAAATACCTAAGTGCTGTGCCTCTTATACCTAAATCTTCGAGTTTTTCCAATAACATGTTATGATCTACGGTATCAAAAGCTTTACGAAGATCTATAAAAACTGCTAAAGATGGTATGCTATTATTCAAACAATTATAAATCTTTTTTGTCAAATTTAGTATGGCATCTTGTGTACTTTTCTTATCGCGAAACCCGTATTGAGCAGAGGATAACAAATTAAATTTATCTAGAAATTGACTTAATCTATTTTTAACTACTTTCTCAAATATCTTAGCCAATGAACTTATTAACGAAATGGGCCTGAAGTTTTCTGGTTCTGTAATATCACCGCTTTTGTAAATTGGTGTAACTATGGACAATTTAAGAGCATCGGGGAAAATTCCTTGTTCAAATGATTTATTAATTAAGTATGCAATTGGTTCTACTATATAAGGTAAAATTATTTTAAGTGTTTCTGCTTTTAAATTATCATAACCTGGAGCCTTTTTGTTTTTTAGTTTAAGTATAATATTTTTTATTTCATCTGAATTTGTTGGAATTAAAAACATTGAATTTGTATTTGTTTTAACCTTTTCAATATATGTAGGATCTGCTTTAACACTTTTAGCTAAATTGACACCAATATTTACAAAAAAGTCATTAAAAATTTCACACATTTCTGATGGATCTGTTGTTAACTCGCCTACACTATTTTTTATATTTGTAATTTTTTTTGAATCTGGAATTTTTAGTATTTCATTAACCGTTATCCACATATTTTTCGAATTGTTTTGATCTTTGTTTATTTGCCCTTTGTAATAATTGATTTTTGCTTGCTTGATTTTTTTTTTCTAATTCTTTCTTGTAATTTAGATAAGTTTGTTTTAAAGCTAAGTTATTTTGTTGTTGCTAATATTTGATATACAGATAATTTTTTTGGTTTACAGAGTTAAATAGAGATCTTGTCATCCATTTTTTTCTTTTTCTCTTATTGTTTTTAATCCTAATATTTTTTGTAGAATTTTGTACACTCTGCTGAACAGCATCAATAAATTCTTTAGTTTCAGTTTCCAGATTACTGTTATTATTTAAAATTTTTTCCCATGAAATACTTTTTATTTGTTGGATAAGCGTTTTATCATCAATAATTTGATAGTAGCGACATTCATTACGTATATTAATGCTTCTTCCAGGAAGAACTAATTGTAATAGAACTGTGTGATGATCTGTTAATGATGTTGGTATTGTTATTGGAATAAGTGTATCAAAATTATAATTTTTTGTTTTAATAAAAATATGGTCCAAGCATATATATTATATATATATATATAATACTATAATTCTACCTCACTTTAATTATTGCTCTACAATACTCTTTTTACTAAATCAAAATGAGTTGAACCGACTACAGAAGCTGCAGAATAGGGCTATGCGAATATTATTATCCTGTTCAAAATATACTTCCATTAATCTAATGTTTGAAACTTTGAGGTGGATGCCTATCAAAAGTCTCTTATTGCGGAATGCGTTAATTTTTATTTATTAAATCAAACACTCGTTACTTCCAATGAACCTAAAAGAGAAGTTAATTATCACTCTAATGTGCACAATTATCCAACGCGGAACAGAAATAACTTTTATATTGAAACAGTTGTTAAGAGTGCAACACAAAATTCACTATTTTTTAAAGGTCTAAATCAATATAACGCACTTCCAGAGAAAATTAAATCGGTAACGTCTGTAACTACATTTAAAGTCAAAGTGACAGATTTCTTAATTGATGAATATTTCTTCAGAAACAGTAACAACCTATAGAATTTTGGTTAGTTTTAATTGTATCTAAATTATCTATGTTTTGACTATGTATATGTATATTTTTACTAAATTTGTATATTGTGATATTAGCAAACTAGCTAAATAAAGGAAATAATAATAACATCAAAAATACTTCAAGTGAAATAAAACCATGATAATTTAGCCTCTTCTCTGCTACTTTAATTAAAACAATTAAATCAACAACTATTGCAACAGTAAAATTACCAATTTAAAATTTCTATTTCCGGCTGCCTCAAAGTCATGAATAATATATAGGTATGTCTTTTCGAACATCGAGTGAAATAGAAATTATGTCTATTGACTTAGTGAAATAAAAAAGAAGTACAAAACTTCCAAGATTGAGTGCGAGAAAGTTTTAAAGTAGAAAAATTAAATTTGCTAGTTTCTAAGTAAATTCCGTAGATACGAGAAATTTTATTCGAATTTATTTATTGCATTTAGATGAATAAAGCAATTGCATATATACAGGGCCAGTATATTTTATCTAATAGAAATTGTATAGAGTGATCAACACAAAATTATTTTAAAGTAGGCCATGTTCGACAAAGAGAGAGATACGAGTCATGTCTATGATAACTACGTATCGCTCTGAATTAAATCCAAACTGATAATAAGTAGTTTTTACTGTCAACAAATTTAAAATCTTATAATTCAAAATAAATTATATACACTCTATAAATAACATACAAATGAAACGATATAAAAATATCCTCGACTACAAAACAAATTACAACTCTATATCTCAACCAAGTGCGCCATTGGTTTTATAATCAAACATTTTGAATTACAAAAAAAAAATTGAGCACTGTTAAAAATGACCAAGCTATGAGCAAATTACTGACTAATTTCTAAGTGGCGAAATTCATTACTCGGTTTGCTCTACTGTATACTGAATACGGTGCTTTATATTTTAAATATTTCTTTTTATTTTCAATAGTGCCGCAATACAAACGCTGAAAATTAATTTAAAAATACATTTAATATATTCATATTAAAATAGTTATAAAATCTATTGCTTTTCTACAATGGGGTACAGATGATTATTAAATAATATTATATAATTTAGGTATACTTACGATTTTTGCCTTCGAAACAACCCATTTTGATAATAATTTCGCCGATAATGAGTAGGTAGGTACCGAAAAAAGGTTGGCACAAAAATGAAGTCATGAAAATTAAAGAAATATCTTATCGTGAAACAATTTGCATTTCTCGTTATTGTAAATTGTAAATTGTATTTTCCTTTTTCATTCTTCGCATAATTTCGAACGTATTCATTTGAAAAATAAATTACTCTTTAGTGATAAAAATGCGATGTAAAAATTTGAAAATATACAAAAATATATAAAAGCAGAAACAACCTGCCATTGATTGTCTGGATCCAGAATCTAGATAGTTGGATTGGTCTATAATTAATAGTCAAGAAAATTGTTTATAAACATGTCAATCATCCTTTAAACACTAAAAGTTTATTAAATATATGAATTTGATTCCAATGAAGTACAAAAATAAAATAAAAAATGAACCAAAACGCATCACTGCAAAACTCTATAAATGGCTAATATTAAACAGGTTTTCTTTCTATGATTATTACTTTAAACATATTCTTTATGTTCTTTGATTTTCACTTTTATGTCTTTTATTTATGTCTTGAATATATCTACTTTCTTTCCAAAAAATGTTCTTATTTTTTTAGATGGAACTATCAACTATTTGGCTTGAAGCCCGTATGGTTCCACTTAACAAACGTCTTCCTGCATGCAGTGGCGTCTGTTTTATTTACGATGCTCTGTGTGGACGTGGCCCGTTTGAAACCACCATTTTCTGCAGTCGCTGGTTTGCTGTTCGCAGTACACCCAATACACACAGAGGCAGTAAGTATTAGCGTCGACACAAACATTCTCCTCTCTTTCCAACTCTCTTAATTCTTCTTAAAGCCATCCTTTTATAGAGGAGGATGTTTGTGCCGGCGAGAATCTAAATCTGATGACTTCAAATTTTCAAATTTGAGTGTAGTGTTTTGGTGGTCTAATTAGTAAAGGCAGTGGGACTCCGTGTCATATAGAATTCTACCAATCGCTTTAATCCTATCGATTGGCACTCCATGTCTCCAAATAATCGCCTGGAGTCAACTGTGACTATCGCCACGAAGCGAGACGTCAAGACATATAGTTTTCTACTCAAATAGATAAACCGTCATACATTTTCGTTTTAATTTTTAATCATTTGATATTTGATTTAAGATAGCAAATACAAACAAGTATTAAAAGTAATTTTGAAAAACCGACTTTAAAATCGTGCAGATAAAATCACCACATCTTAATTAAATTTATACCGAACCACCCCTGAGGTATCCCCCTACTAACAGAAAAAGAATCATAGATATCGGATAAGGTGGTAAAGAGTTATCGCTGAACATACATAAAAAATAAATAATTTGAGAATTTTCTCATGAACTCAATTATTAGATTTTGACCAAATTTATACCACCCATGGAGTACCCTTTTCTAACAAAAAAAAAGAATCTTTTAAATCGGACACTGTTTTAAAAAGTTAGCACATACATAAAAAAATATACGACGAATTGAGAACCTCCTCCTTTTTTGAAATCGGTTAAAAAAAACCTAACAAACGTAAAAAAGAGAATTGCGGTAAAGCATAAGCTCTTATTTCTAGATGCCTGTGAATAAAATATGCAAATTATAATTTAGAATGGTAACCGTTTCTGTTAAAATAATTCATTCCGTTATTTGGAAAAGGACACAAACGACAATTTTGGCCATCTTCGTTTTATACGATTTTTCTATAATTTTATTGAATGGGGACCATTTATTACAAAAAGGGAATAAAATATCACACTAGAACAACTATACTCGGAAAAAATATTGAAGAAGGTGATTCCTCCCTGTTCACGTACAACAATAATACTATACCAGAGCGTAATGAATAGAATCACGCGCATAAAACTGCAGAAGTTATCGGTATCACGTGCTAACTAGTCATAAATGCATGTTTATTGCCAAAATTAATTACACCAGTGGCGTATAAAAACTATTGGCAAATTAAATGCGGTAATAGTAAATAATATTATATGAAAGTAGGTTGGTTATCTATTTTTGTAGTAATAATCATTTATGTTTATAATTTTGTTTCGTTTATTGTTAAAATATGAAATATTATGCCAGTGGCGTAGAAACACTATTGGAAAATTAAATGGGGTATTATACTAGAACAAAATATTAAAGAAGGTGCGCCTTAAAACTGCAAAAGATATATCAAAATGCACTCTTCCAGCGTCGCATAAATACTATATTGGCAAATTAAATGGGTATTTGTAAATATTACCAGATGAAAGTAGGTTGGTTATCTATTTTTGTTATAATAATTCATCTATGTTTATAATTGTATTTTGTTTATTATAAAAATATGTAAATTAAGCTTGGTACCACTTACTTGAATTCTAAATCTATGAAGTTTCGTAATCCATTGATTCTGCAGAACTATCACTGGAATCGTCTTTATCGTCGGAACTTAAAGTTATGACTAAAGGTTCAACTGCCGTTTCGATCATACCGTCCAAGCGCCACTTATTATTTTCTTCCTTAATTACATGGGAAATAGCATTCTGCCAATCTTCAGGTTTTATACGTTGTATACCGGTTTTTAATAAACTTTCAACGTCGGCTATTTTAAAAGTTTTATTTTCTCGAGCTACAAACCCTTTCATTTGCGCCCCAATTAGTTCAGTAGGATTGAATTCGCAGTGATAAGTGGTACCGTAATACCACAATCACAAGCCATTGTGTCGACAACATATTGAATATATTTATGGCGGTGTTCCTTTATTATGTCCATTAATTCCACTTTAAGCATCTCCTCAGTAAATGTTATTGCTTTATCCCGCAGCCAGGTTTGCATATCCGCTTTCCTACTGGACATTATCGGAATGCGTTCAACTCGTCGACTATGATAAGAAGCGTTATCTAGTACAATAACTGAATTTCGTTCTGCACGCTGTAATACTTCAGTAAAACATTTTTCAAAGCGTTCTACGTTCATGTCCTCGTGGTAGTCTCCTGTTTTTTTTTTTTTTTTCGATATAAACACAAGAGCGCTATTTTTCAAAAATCCACTGTCACTTCCGATATGGGTAACAATTAGGTGCTGTCCTTTACCTGATGGTGCTTTCAAATCTGTAGATAATCCCTCTATAAAAGCTTGGCAATGACTAGTTACAGATGTATCTTGCTATATCTTAGATACCGTGTGTCCAGCATTCACCCACGTTTCATCGAGATAGTATATCTTTTTTTTAGTGGCTCTAAACTCTTTAATATTTCGTTAATAACGCCGTCGCCAGGACACTATATCTGACCTCTCGATTAAAATTGATTTCCTACACCGTTTGACAAAACGAAATTTTATGCCCCATAAAATTTTTCGTAAAGTTTCACGGCTCATTAATGGAATTTCTTCGTTTTCTCTTAATTTCGTAAGAACAACTTTAAGTGTTGGGGCTTTTTTTTCGACAAAAAAAAGAATGATTTGTTTTTGGTTATCGTCCAATTTCAACAATTTTCGACCACGGGTATGCGTTTTAGTGGCTTCTAAGGAGCCTTTTTTGTCTTTTCGCGTACAATACGTTCAATTGTTGAAACATATACTCCAGTTAAAAAAGAACTGCGGTTTACATCTTCATTTGTAGGAAGTGTCTGTTTCAGCCCATAATACACTTTCCATATAATGTTCTTTTCATCATTTGATAAGGGCTTTCGCCGACGTAATTGGGTTTCACTTGGACCCGCCTCTGAATCCATTACTATTGTAACAATATAATTCTACTATTAAATTGTGTTTATTAAATTTATAAAGACACCAATAGTTTACTATTTAATAAACTTTTAAAGTACCTACCTAATATACTACACAATAAATATAACTCCTCGAATATGCACTACCACTACCAAATTGTAAGGCACAAACATGAACACCTACTCGTATATCAGAAAAGAGCACTTATACAAAAAAGTATTTGTAAAATATAAAATAATTATCGTAAATAGTTAAAGCGATACAAATCTTACTTCGTCGAAAGTTAGTTTTCAACTGTCTTTGTGCCTGTGCTGACAATATTCAATCTGTAACCCGTCTGTCGTTTATTTACTTGAAACACATTTTAAAACCGTTAAACACAGATAACGAAGTCATTAGGGAATAAATATATTCATTTCTTGAAAACTATCAAAAACGTATATTTAACGCATCATCTTTGTTTAAATAAAGATGTTGACAAACAAATTTAATAAAGTTTACTAACAAATACCTAATAAATAATAAATAATTTTAAGGTGAAGGGGGGAGAAAAAGTCCTTTATATCTCACAAGGAAAGTCAATGTTTAATTATTCAACAAAACATTGAGTGCGACCGGTTTCGAAGTATCATCACTTCATCTTCAGGCTCGCCTAGTGGAAAGGAGAATATGTGGTGTAAGGTGTGTGGACTTTGAGCCCACAATATATAAAATAGTAAAAAATAGAAAAACTCACCATACTCTCCATCCACTAGGGAATACTACAGACAAGTTTCATCAAAACGTGGGGGATGAAATAAATTGTAAAACAAAACAATGTTACAAGTTATAAATAATTATTTGGTATTTGATACGCAGCCTATGCTAACTCTGTCGGAATTTTCATTCATAGACAACAGTGTTGATCATGCATATGACTTACCTTCTCCAATATTTTGTCCGAGTATACATTAACTAGATACCCGTTTTACTGCGTTTGAATCGAACAATTCACATGCGATACAAAACGTAACCTTTTCGAAATAAATACGCTGAAGCGCTGGATATGTTTTGGTGTATCATCACTTTGAAATTGTTTGTTGCTGAATCAACAGTGACATTTTTATTGTGGTTTGTGGTGTACGTATTGTATTGGGCTTATTCCTTTATCTTTTTCACTAGCAAAGCCTGCTAGGTCCAAGGCGAATCTTCCTGCTAAAGGGGCATATACAGCCAAAGTCCCCATTGGTATAAAAAAGTTAATAATTTAAAATCCTTAATCCAGTATATCCCTCAGTAAAACTAAGAATGTTACAGTATGATACTGGACTGGCCAACAGAGGTCTCCAAAGAGATGGCTGATTTGGACTTCTAATATTTTTATAAAAATTCTTACTAAATAATTAAATATGTCATTGTGTATGTCATTGTGAAACTATATTTGTTTTATTTTGAATAAGTTTGGAAAAGGTCACAAATGAAATAAATATCATATTTTTATGATATAAATTGTTTAAACATCCATGAAAAATAACTATAATTAGCTTCCTCATATACAAAAGAACATATAAAAATATGTACATAACTTTTAATATGTGCCCGCAATTTGATTAAAAATTATTCTTTCTTTCTACTGTAAAATTAAGTGTTAAGTAAATGTGCTCTTTACCAAATAACCGATTCAATTATATTCTTCTTCATTTGGTCGCAGGATTTCAACATGGCTACAATCTATTGTTCCAATTATCTCTTGGAAATTTCTTCCTTCCATTAAACGTAACTAAATTTGTTTTTCTTGCAGAGTTCTAGGAAACTGAATCCATTTCCCTGAGAAGGTGTTTATAATGGTGGTATTTATTTCCTCTATAGCTCTTGACATACTTGGTTGTAACATTAAAATGTTGTAGCTCTGTCCAAATACTCTTTGGTAACTTCCACTGGCATAACAGGATAACACACCAAAAAATTTTGTACCTACTGAGCGGTATGGAAACAGGGTTGTTACTTTGTACCATATTAGCTTGTATTTAATACAAAGTAGGCCATATCTTATCTTACATTTTCTATAGAGAATGAATCTCTT